CCGCCTCGCTGCCCGCCGCCGCGTCGCGCCAGCGGCCGCGGTTGGCGTCGAGCGCCGCCGCGTCGGCCTGCACCAGCAGCGCGGCGCCGTGGCCGCCGAGTCCCCACCAGAAGGCGCGGTGGTGGCGGTCGGCGCCCAGAGGGGCGCGGCGGACAGCGCACTTCTCCATCTCCTTTTCGAGGTCGTCAAGGCGCCTTGGGATCATGTTTTGTGGGAGAGGCAAGGCCGGGAGGGAAATGAGCAACGGCGGAATCAAGGGTGCGGGCCGAGTGGGCGGCCGGGGGTGGTGCTTCGACGGGCGCGTGCCGGGCCGGCTATGGGGCGCAGGCGAGGCGGCGATGGAGGCGGCGGCGGCCCGTTCGTCGCGGGCGTCGCTGACGACGCCGCACGGCCGATCAGGCCGAGATGATCGCCCGCCTTGCGCCCCACCCCTCCCTGCCCCCTCCCGCCCCTGCGCCAGGCAGCCCTACCAACCCACGCCCCCCCTCCGCCCCCCTGCCTCCCGTCGCTCGTGACTCACTGCGCGATGGTCTCCTCTGTTGCCTCCTTCTCCTTTTGGCGCCGCCGCTCCTCCTCCTCCGCCGCCCTGCGCTCCGCCTCTCGCGCCTTTTTGCGCGCCTTGACCTCCGCCTGGGGCCCGTGTGTGTGAGTGTGTGTGTGTGTGTGTGTGTGTGTTTGGGGGGAGTGTGGGTGCCGTTGGCGGGTGTGCCAGGGAGGGGACGGGGCCCACCCCGGCAGCCAGCAGCCGTCGCAAACACCGCACGTTGGGGGCACCGCGCGGTGCCCATTCCTGGCTCGACGCCCCTTCGAAATTTCAGCCAAGGGGAAAAGGGGGGATGGCGGCGGCGATGATCCCCCCCCCTACGCCTGCTGCTGTGCGCTCGACCAACCCTGCCCCCCCCCCCCGATCCACGCCAGCGCCACCCTGAGGCCTCCAGCCCCCTGGCCCCCTCACGTGCCACTTATTCTTGGCCTTCTCCAGCCCCTGGCGCACAGACTGCTGCTCCTGGCGGAACGCAGCCATGGCCTTGCGATCACCGGGCTCGCCACTGAGGGGTGTGTATGTGTGTGTGTGAGTGTGTGTGTGTGTGTGTGTGTGTGCGTGTGCGTGTGTGTGTGTGTGTGTGTGTGTGTGTGTGTGTGTGTGTGTGTCAAGGGCATCTGAATCATGGTCGCAGCGTTCTGTCAAGCCCAGATTTATGCCAAAAAGCGGTGTCAGGTTAGGCGTTCGTGGCGCACGCTGGACCCCTGGGCCGCGCCGCACGCAGCGCCAAGCGGGCTGCGCGACCGCAGCCGCGCAGCCGCTGGGCCCCGCGCAGCCCAGGCCCCTGCTCACCCTGTCCCCCCCCCTCCTCGTCCCCACCTTGCCCGTGAGCCCGGCGATGTTGAGCTGCCCAAAGCGCGTGAGGCCGTGCTTGGCCGCCAGCCCCGCCTGCAGCACAAAGCCGCTGGCGCCCGTGTCCAGCAGCATGTAACCGGGCGGCATGCCGCTGATGTGCACCTCCGCCACAATGTGGCCGCTGGACGCCTTCCAGGCCTGGTTTGGGTGTTTCGAGTTGGAGAGCAGTGGGCAGAAACGGTGGGTCGAGGGGGAGGGGCTGAAGGAGGGGAGGTTGCAGGGAGGGGTGAGGCGAGTGAATGCCAGGTAGGGGGCGGGGGGGCTGGCGGGAGTGCGGGCCGGCATGGCTCTGGTTTGGGCGCTCGAGAATCAGTGGCTCAGGGACGCCTCCAGGAGTGACGAGGCCGCGCGACTGTCAGAGGGCGGGGCTGAGGGGGGCACGGCGCTCAGCCTCACATGCAGGCCGGCCGCGCACCGCCTGGCGCTGCACCCCCTGCGGCCTGCTGCGTGCCCTCCCTGAGGTCCCCATCAGGCTGAACCCCCACTGCCGACTCCCCCTGCCACACTCCCTCCCCAACGCATACGCCAAGCCACAGCGCAACCAGCCTGAGCAGGCACATTTGCAGCAAAGGCGGGGCGGGTGGGGAGCCGCGGGGGGCCCTCACCCAGGTGCCTGCGGGCTGGCTGGCGTCGAAGGACGCGTCCACGGGCAGCTTGGTGCAGAGGGGGATGGTGAAGGCGACGCTGGATATGCGGGCGCTCTGCAGCTGCACCTTGGTGGTGTGGTAGTCGTGGGCGCCGCCGACGGTGGCGTTGTGGCACACGCGCATTGGGTAGTGCACGCCGGGGCCGCTTTGATGAGGGGTGGGGGTGGGGGGAGTGGAGTGGGTTGGATGCAGAGGGGTGCATGATGAGGTATTGGATAAGAGGGGGGACGAGGGCTGTGTCCCCGCTTTGTGCTGCAGTACGGCTCACAGCTAGGTGCGGGTCGACGCGAGCAAGTCGCGTTCATGGCGGCACGCATCGTTTGTAAGAACACGTGCAGCTGAGCGCAAACTCGGGCGCACACAATCTCCACCCACAAGATTGTTATCCGCGACCACCAACTCCGCCTTGTGCGTGCTTAACCCTCCCGCCCCTTCCTCACCCGTTCCGCTCCTGCTGCCGCTGCTCCCCAGGCGCCCCCTGCGCCGACTGCGACACCTTCGCGTCCGCCGCCGTCATCCACACCGCCCCGCCGGCCCCGCCAGGGGGCGCCCCCGGGGGCGGCTGCCAGAGCGTCCAGCCCTTGAACACCCAGAGGGAGGGCGCCGCCACGCCGCTGGAGTCGTCCCAGCCCACCAAGGCCTGGCCAAAGCCGACTGGCCGCCAGGTGTCAGGGCAGATTTCAACACGCGCCAGCATCTGGGACGTTTGTGTGTGTGTGTGAGTGTGCACGTGCGTGTGTACATGTGTGTGTGTGTGTTGTTAAGTGTCTGTGTATGCATGTGCATGTGGAGAATGGAAGGGGGGGTGTGGGTTTAAGGAGGGGAAGGAGGGCACACATGGGGATGGGGGTGCAGGGGATGCGGGGTCCTTTAAGGCTTGCGCACCACATGCTGGAGCGCACGCCACAGCAGAGCCGCACGGCGACGATGGTCCTAGCCCCCCCCCCTTGCTCTCGCCACTGAGCTGATCCCCACTGTTGCGCCCCACCTGTGTGCCTTTCAGGGCAATGTCAATGTATATCGGAGGCCGCCCGGAGCTGCGCGGGGGGCGTGTCGCGCCCTGCAGCCGCTTGGCCGCCCGCCGGGCAGGGCCCTTGGGGGCGGGGCCATTTGCCGTGACGCCACCGGCGCTGCTGCTGCTGCTGCTGCTGCCTGCGGCCACACATCCGCTGCTGTTGACGCCGCTGTTGCTACTGTTTTGGGATGTCAAATAGCTTGTTGATGCATCCGCGCCGCTGATGAACCGCTCCTGCGTGCTGCTGCTGCCGCTGCTGCTGCTCCCCCTGCTGTCATTAACGTTGATGGTGCTGTTGCTGCTGTTGCTGCTGTTTCTCCTGCTGTTGTTGCTGCTGTTGCTGTCGCTATTGCTGCTGCTGCTGCTGCTGCTGCTGCTGCGACCGCCGTCGTGGCCGTTGGCGGACCACATACCCGCCCGCTTGGGCGTCTGCGGCGCGGCATCGCGCAAATGACAGCAGCTGTAAGCTCCAGATGGCATCCTGCGGCCACAGCTGCGCGCGCTTTGGCTGCAGGGGCCGCAGCAGCCGGCACAGCCGCCACGCGTGCTTCGCCACGCGGCACCGGTATACGCTCGGCGCCCGGCCGCCCCCCCAGTTGCCACCACACCAGCGGTCGAAACCTCTGCCCAAAGCCTCTCACCGCGGCCACCCCGTCTGTGTGCAGCGCCCTGAACTCCAGCCGCCCCGCCATGGCCTCCCGGTCCAGCCAGCACCCCGACCGCACCAGCAGCGCCAGCAGCATCGACTGGGGCGGAGCGGCGGGGCATGGGTGAGGTGGCGCCGCCGCCAGTGACGGGAGCGTGCTTACACGACAGGCCGATGCCCGCCGATGTAACCCTGGGTGCCTGCTCCTGTGGGTGCAGCTGCCGGCCAGACCCGCATGTGGCGCTGCAGCCTAAGGCCCCAGGCCTTCAGCAGCAAGGGCCGCCGCGTCCGAGGCCGGATCACGCCGCCTTGGCCCCAGATCACGGGCCGCGCACCTCGTGGTCGTCGTACTCGAGGTGCTTGGCCACACCCGCAGGGTCCACCTCCCAGCATGTGCTGTCTGCGCCGCCGTTGTGCCCCCACTTGAAAGTCAAGTATTTGCTGCGTATCTCCTCGTAAAACGCCCCGTCGCGGCGGAAGCGCAGGGACCAGGCCACAGGGGAGCCCAGGTGGCTGCCAGTGCCGTGCACCACAACCTGCGGGCAAGGCGGGCGCAGTGGTCGAAGGGGGCTGCAGGTCTCCTAAACGTCAAATCATTCTTGCCCAGACCTCCAGCGGCCTAACACAAACGGGCAGACCGTGGCGCGCAGGCGATGGCGCGCAGAGATCGATGACCCGCCACAATTTGGCGGGTGCTGCGGCTTGCGCCCGGGTGCCGCGCCGAAGCACGGCTGCACTGCGCCTCGGACAACGGGTGTGCCTTGATGACCCGCCAATCCTTGGCGACTACGCCTCCTGCAAGCTCACCTCTCCACCCCGCATCCCTGCAAGCCCCTCGCCGATTGCGGCGCGGCAGTTGGATAGGACTTCATCGAGTGTGGGCTGCGGAGGGCCTGGAGCAGCAGCGGTGCCGGTCGACGCAGCCCTGGCAGGGAACGTCGCGCCGGCTCTTCTGCTAGCATTGCCGTCTATGGAAGACCATAAGTACCGCTGCAGGGAGGGTCTGGGCACAGCTGACGCTCCCAGGCCGCGCATGTGAGACGAACGCTGCACGAGGCAGCGCCGGCCCAGCTGCATTTTCAACCAATACTGATCAAAATCATACAAATGACTGCAAATGTCTGCATATGTGTTGAAAGCTGTAGATCGTTCCTTGCGTGGTGTGCCGACCTGCGGGCGTGCACGGTGTTACGGTTCAGGCTGGGAACATAATAACAGAGTCGCAACACTAGCACATATACGGTACAATGGGCCTGAAGGGTGTGCACGGTTTTGATACGGTACTGTGTTGTTGCACTGATGCACACCACTTGCGCTGCGGCTCAACGCACCCTGCGAGTGGAGCCTAGCATCGTGCGTCATGTTCAAGCGCCACGCATAAGGCACACTGTGACAAGAGGCATCCATCTATAACACGTTAAATATCCGCTTGCTGGTCTCCTGTCCGCTCAGCCCCGTTTGCATTGACAGCAGTTCCTCGGACGGCCCGATGGCTGTGGAGCCCAAGTAGGTGGGCTTGTGCTCGCGTTTGACAGGCGTTTTCTGTACATGAGAATTGGTTCATTTCTTGAATTTGTTATAAGTTTGGAAATCATACAGAGTGCAAAAGTCCATTAGAAATGGGACATGGCAAGCGGTGGTTTGCAAGCGCCGGTGGGACGAGGGTTCGCAGCAATACAGAAGTGACAGTCATATATACAGGTGGTGGGACTTTGATGCACAAGTGTATATTCTTACAGCGTCTGCAATCCCCGCTTCAGCTGCTGAAAGCGGGGGCTTGCCTCCCTTGCAGGCCTATCACGTCGGTACATCGGCCTCGCAAGCGATGCAAGCTTTCTCTCCAGCACGTCATGCTTGACAACCGTGCCCACGCTCTTTTAAGAAGGGCCTGCGCAGTATTACTTGTTGGCCCCTGACAGTGCCAGGTTGCAGAGCTAGTTATGGGCTGATCAGGATGCTGTGACCTGCTGAAGGGACCTCGTGGGGCTGGAGCTGAAAACAGGCGGATGTGGGGGCACACGCCCAGCGCGGGTCTGCCCGCCCTCAAGAGGCGCCCACCCCACGGTGAGTGTCACAGTCACGTACAGGATGCAGCAAAATGTGTCTCCGGTCGACGTCATCATGCCCCCACAAGTGCTTTGCATAAGTGAGCCCATTTCGAACTCGCAGACGGAAGGAAAGTGGGATGACACGCAGGACATGTTGGCACGACACGCAGGGCACTCTGGCTTGATTGGCCTGCAAAGCAGCTCCGGATGCCACGGCAGCTAGCCGTGCCCAGCTTGTCGGTTGCATGAGGTCACTCGGCTCTGCTTCCCCCAAGTCCACACAATTCTCAATGTTGACTCCCTCACAGTCCCTCCTGAACCCTAATCATGATCCTGGGTTTACGGCAGAGTGTTGGCCGCCTGGCTGCAATGAAGATATGATATCTTGGAGTATCAGAACACATTGTCAGGACGTGACAATTCCCTGCCTCTGCTCCCGCGGAGGCACTAGACATCACATGCAAAATCGATACGTGCAGGGGCATGCACATGTGTGAATATCAGACACTGGGCCATGCATGTCCCTGGCGACAGTATTGAACACCCGATGCCGGTGACATGTGCAGGTCGGCGGTGTTGCTGCGGGGTCACATATGCATAGCAGCGGCGGCTGTTGTGCTCAGCAGCAATGTGTCGACTTGCAACACCCGCGTCGCGTAACCCTGTGCCGTCATGTACCGTAGGCACAAGCATCGTGGATGGATCAGATCGCGCTCTTCTAGCCCGCATCACGTTGAACAGTTACGAAACTTATAAACACTAGATTACATGCGCATGAGTGGGTGATCAGCGCGTCGCACGTCGTGGTGCGGCGCCCGCCCCTGCATCGGGGCAGCGACGCACCTCACTGCAGGGCAGAACACCAGCGTAGCCACCGTCAACCCTTGCGCAGCTGACACCGAGAACATCAACTTGCACCGAGAGCTGTCAACCGATTTGCACCATGCAGCCGGAGCTCACACGCACCGCGTTCACGTTCGCGGCAGTGCACCGCCGCCGTGACGCGCTGCGTGTCACGGCGGTCGCGCTGCACCAGCGCGCGGGGCGCGTGTACCTCGGCCTCGACAGCGGCGTGCTGGAGGAGCACCGCATAACGGCCGCGGCGGCGCCAGGGGGCGCCGAAGACGCCGCATCGGCCAGCACGGGTCCAGGCCTTCACCCCGGCGTCGCCGCGCCCGCGCCGGCGCAGGCGATGCGGCTGCGACTGCAGGCTGAGAAGCACCTGTTCCGGGGGGCGGTGGCGGCGCTGGCGATCGCGCTCGGGGCGGCACGGGTAGCGGCAATGTCCGATGACGGGCAGGTGCGTAGTTGAGGGAACGTACGTGCAGACAACGGGAACGTATGCTGTGAGAGCGGTTTGGCCTCGGCGGGGGTCGCAGGGGGGTGGCAGGGGAGGGGCACCGCCTGGCGTGGTTGCTCGGCAGAAGTGAGGCAAGAGGCGCAAGAATCTGCGGACACATGGGACTACTCAAGGCGCGATGGACGCCCGGCCCGCTTCGCAGCCGAGCGGGCACATATGGCATGCCCCCTGGCGCCTGGTCCCCACCCCTTCACAGCCGCCCGAAACGACCCGATGCCGCGCCTGTCCGCGCGTCCCACCGCCGCCTCACTCACGCCGCCTCCCCCCAGGTGCTGCTGTGCACCCTGGAGTCCTTCCACCTGGCGCCGGTCCCCGGCGCCCGCGGGGCCACCGCCATCGCCGCCGACCCCTCCGGCCGCTTCCCCGCGCAGCTGGCCGTCGCGGTGCGCGCCTCCAAGGGGCGCAGCCGCGTGGGCGTCTACGACGTCGTGCCCGGCAGCGCCACCACCTCGGGGCACGGCGCGCTGCAGAGGCACCAGGTAACGGGGGGGTGTAGGTGGCAGAGGAGGGGCCCGTGGGTGCTGTAGCCCCCACAGCCCCGGCAAAATGCACACGCCGGGAGCACCTCTTCAAACCCGCGCCGCTTGCTTCAATCCCACCTTGCGCCGGCCCCACCCTGAGCCCCCTCCCTCCCCAACATCGCCGCTTGGATCCCCCCCTTATTCCCCTCCCCCTCTGAAAACCAGGTGCCTGTTGAGGCGACTGTCTTGCAGATGGCCTGGGTGGGGGCCTCCATCATACTGGCCATCCCTGGGGGCTACGCAGTGATGCGCCCACCACCCGCCGGCCACAGCGGCACCCCCCAGCAGCGGCCGCAGCAGCCGCAGCAGCAGCAGTGGCAGGTGGTGGTGCTGGCGGACCACCTCACGGCGGCGCCGCTGCTGGGGGGAATACCCTGCGAGAGCCCGCCGCAGGTGCGGGGAGGCGCAGGGTCCGCCAGCCGCGCCTGCTGGGCCGCTCCCAGGCGCGCGCGTCAGCCGCGAGGCCCCCTTGCAGCGCGGGAGCGCCACGGCACCGCAGCAGCTCGCTGTGCAGCGAAGCGCTGGTGTAAGGGGTCACCTCACAGGAGAGGCTCGGCAGTACAGCAGCACATCAACACCCACCGCGCGGCGCACGCCTGCTGCCTTCACTCCTTGAATGCCCTCTCACCCACCCACACAACCACCCACCCAACCCCCAAACCCTTGCGACGACGCCACCCTGAACCCCTCCCCCCCGCCCCCACCCCCTGGGTCCCCAGGTGGCGCTGGCCTGGGACGAGGGCATGGTGCTGATAGCAGGGGAGGACGGCGCCGCGTCGCGCGCCCCGCTGCAGCTGCCCATGCCCCCGCTGGCGCTGGCGGCCGCGGGGCTGTTTGTGGTGGCGGTGTGCGACGACGGCGTCCACG